GGAGACAAATATATGGATAAATCTTCATTTACCAAGGGACTTCGTAGATAGATTTCGGAAATGAAAATTCATGTCACATAAGATAAATATTTCTCGCCTTTCCGAAGTTTATTTACAAAGTCCCTTCGTAAATGAATATTTATCCATATATTTGTCTCCTACCCTTCACAAATAGAGATCGTAAGTGAAACTTGACGCACCATAACATAGATATTTCTCGCCTTTCGAACGTCTATTTACGGAGAGTCTTTGCAAATTGAAATTTGTTTTCTCATTTTTCTCGAAGCAATCCTAAATAGACTTCGTAAATTGCACGTTTATTTTCTCAAAGATATATTTTTTCTCGTACCGTTCGTAAACAGACTGGGGAAAGGAGAAAAATGTCTATCTTATATAACATCAATTTTCATTTACGAAGTCTATTTACGAAGGATAGGAGACAAATATTTCGATGAGATGCATGTTCGCCGTTTTCTCAGGAATGAATCGATCAGAAAAACGAGGGTATTGCGGAATAAGGAGAATGTGATCTAATATCCTAGACCAACGGCGTAGCAGCCTGTTGTTTTGCTTAACTTTAGATTGCCTTTTTGATGTTAACCTGTCCGATTGGTTTGCAGCTACCGCGTCTGTATCTTTTAGAGAATTACTTATTTTATTTTCGTCTTCTAGATTTTGCTTTTGTGTAACAAAACTATGGGGCACTATGCTGTTTTAAACCAGAAGTTTAGAATAATCGGTAAATGCACTTGTACTTTTCACCATCGAAAGAGATGTAAGAATTCATGTTTCCTGGATCTTTCTTTAGATGAATTAATCGATTATTTAGCTGCAAAAGCTGAGGAAATTTGTTGGCCACCAATTCCTGGTCCTAGTCCCGATGCAACACATCAAAAACGGTTAGAAGAATTTTGGCAAAGGGGTTAGAAAGCAAATTTTTAATGTTAAATTTGGCGTCTCGCTTTTTTGTTTTTGTTTTCATTAGGAATATCCAACGATGGTGAAGTTAGAATATATCAACCATCGACGTCATCGTTTGTGTATACAATTGATCAAAATGAAGTTGGTGATGAACAATTAAAAATTTCAAAGCCACTGAAAAAACGGCGAAACGAAAATACAACTCCACAAATAAGAAGTAAATTCATTACTTCCTAATCACTACAGTGTACCACTATCTCTCGCTCTGTCTTTTTCAGCAACACAAATTTCGTAAAAACACTTCTTAAATGGATGAAATTGTCCAACGCGGTTGTTTTCGCCAAAATTTCATAATGAAAAAAACCATTTCCTGGTTTTATTTTTTGTGTGCATGGCAGTCTATTTTACTTTGCATTTTGTTTTTTAGCGAAGAAGATGAAGGAGATGGTGATGTTAATGAATCATTAAAAGAAAATAACAAACATTTAAAGTGTAAATGCTTAACTGTTTAGTCATGTACGAGTCTGGTTGATTTTCGCTCCTTTTAGCTAAAATTACATTGACTTCACGACAACGTATAGAAAACAAAGAAAATTCTGCGGGCGGATCATCGCAATTGTCCTCATCAACGACAGCTACGACACGGAAAAATGTTAATATTGGTAGAAATGAAAATTTTCGTGCTACTACTCAACCAGCTACATCAGTTACTTCTTCATCATCATTGCTGCTAAAACCAAAACGTCAACGTAGAAAAGAGCTCGAAAAGTTATGTGCTTGGTCAATTAAAAAGTAGTTATTGTCGTAGACTGATCGATGAACCTTTTTTTGTTATTTTTGATTTATACTCGTTAATACTGTGTGTTCTTTTTGTTAGTCAGATTGTTTTGTTTAAAAACTTGATTGTACCTATGATTTCTCTTTATAATGTGATTTTTTTGTTGCTGATGGTTGTTTTATTAGAATAGATATAGCTGCTTTTAAGCAGTGAAAGATAGTTAGACGTTTGTGCTCACGGAACCTACTCTTAAGTAAGTGGGAACTCACTCTCCCGTTTGTTGTGTAAAACACTGAGAATCACACAGTTACTTACGCTGCAGCTGAACGTAAGTGTCACGTTTCGGCAAATAGAATAGTGTTTTGCTAATGGGTAGATGAGAGAGACTTCTTTGTACTCAACAGAGCTGTTGGGTAAAATATAACCGCCTGCTTGTGTTTCAGAACTTATTTGCTCTTTAGACGCGTAGACTCATCGTACAGGCAACACAGGTGGGGTGCTGCTATAGGATAAGTTGCTTCACTGAATCAAAGCGCCACCTTCCGATCACTTGATTAATTAATGACATTGTCTGCGCACAAAAGAACGTTTTTGAGAAACTAGAAAGCATACTATTGATTAATTTCAAATATAATTGCTTTTTTCAAGATAAAAGGTTGAACCAATCACAGCTTCTAGGCAATAAGTTAAGCAAACTTTTCTCAGCGTTTTGATATTACCCGTATTTTACAACGGGATACCAAGCTGTAGTCTTCATACATAAGAAAAGGGTTGTCTAGTGTATGACTTTCGTTGTCAGTGACGTTAACAATACCGCCAGATGTCGTAATGGTCCTCCCATCACCTAAAATCATACTGAATTCATTTTAATTTCATTCTCAATTTTCTGAGCCAACTTAAAAATGGATGAGCTACTAAATAGTGCGTTTGTTACCGTGATACTTTTAGACTGGCTTTTTCCTAGATGATTATTACACTATAACTTTCTCAACAAAAAGGGTAACGTCAATATAGTTTTATTTTTGTTTACAAAGTGGCGTTTGCTACTGAATGCAAGATAATTTCTATCGGTTGCCTGACGAAGCAGCTGTACGTTATACCTTTTACAACAAAGAAAAAGAGCAAGAAAAACAATTAAATCTTGAAGCTAAAAATTAATATAATGATCATCTAGGAAAAAGCCAGTCTAAAAGTATCACGGTAACAAACGCACTATTTAGTAGGTCATCCATTTTTAAGTTCGCTCAGAAACTTGAGAATGAAATTAAAATGAATTCAGTATGATTTTAGGTGATGGAAGGACCATCATTGTTGCTTTAGGCGGCTCTGGTCGCTTTTGCAGTTTTCACTTTGAAACAAATCACGAAACCCAAAGGTTTTCTGGAAAAACTCTGGGAAACGTCGAAGGATCCTCAGATACCACACACCAAGCTTATTTAAACTGCACGGCTAAATCCAACCTTAAGCACATAGAAACCCAAAGTTTCTCCAAAGACACTCACTATAGAGACCTTTTAGAAGACTCAGAGCAAGTCCTTCAGATCTTCTACGCTCAACGGAGTCCAATACATAAGCTTGAGCTGCCGAATCGCTGCGTTGATAGATTCTTCTTTTTTACAGGGCGTACAGGGGTGACACCTTTCAAGCTGCTGTGCCATTCCCTTAGGGTGGTATCCCATTATTATTTAAGGTATTCATTGGATCCTTACTTAAGGCTAGAAGTCAGTGTTTCTAACATTACGCGTACGCCTTTTTTCCAAAGCGTACAGTACGCGAACTAAATTGAAAATAGCTGTCAACAAAAAGGATGCAGATCGATTTAACACGGCTGCTTACCCACGTTCAATTTTTCTTGTCCATAGTAGTGTACTATCATGCCTAGGCTGAGAATGACTCACTTACGTTAAGAATTTCGCGTAATATACGTAACTCCTTCGTTTCGTACGGTAAGTAAAACATTTTCCTTAACGTAGCACGTTATGTTTTCTCTTTCCTTTAATTTTATCGTCATCCGTGACCTATACTCTACATGTATAAGTCACGAGAGACGAAAGAAGAGATACTAGAAAATTAACGCTTCTTGCGTCTTACCACCCATCACTATTTAAAATGACATCATTAACTTCAACATCAAGAATAGGAACTGAAACAAAAACTATGTATTAAGGATTAAAATATTTATCTTTATTTATATTTATTCAGATAATTATTAAGAATTCATATTACGTGTTTCGTCATACTCCTTGTTAGAATTAACATCAAACGCGAAATTTGCTTTACCCAACGGATGTTTACTCATTCTGTGAGTAAACATTCCGGTATCAATCACTCTATTCTGACAGCTATAGTCATCTCTTATTGTTATTAAGAATAAGTTATATTTTTAACCAATCATAAAATCCACCAATAGTTTTTTTTTCCTGTTCTGTTATATATACACACTACGTAAGGGAGGTGGTTATTCTGTAGAACTACCGCTACTTTCTTCACAACCCACAACAGATATTGTCGAAATTACTGCCGTAGTGATGCATTGCAATTCAGTATTTTTTCGAGAAATGCCGAACACTGGAGATGTCCATTCATTTTCTTCTACTCTTTATCGATATTCATCTTGTTCTATTCTTTATGACTATTCATTTTCTTTTCTAAATTCGAAAAGTGAAATATGTTCGATCCGTTCCAGTCATCATTTTATTCACGTCCATTTTCCTATTTTTCATTCTGTTTTTACGGACTGAAAACAAAATAACACTTCGATAGTTCATTTGTACATTTTGAAATATTTCGAAGATACATTTTTATATTTTATATAACTACTGGCACGTTATTTTATACATAAAGTAATACAACATCTCAACATCGGAATAAAATACACACCTAGACAAAAAAACAAAGTTAAGACTCATGAATGCTTCACTGCCGACAGAAAGCCAGTTGAGTTACATGTTAAAAACGTTAAAAATTCTACATAAAATGAGAAATCGGAAACATAATTCCGAGTTTCACAGCTCAACAAAACAAATAGATCAAGAATTAAATCGCCTTTTCATATTGAAATAACTATTTAAAAATGAGACGCTTCGTCTTTATTCTAAACACACTATCAGTCAACTAGTGTACAAAACTAACTTCTAAACTAAAAAAGACAATAAAACACGCGCTGAACAACAAGATAATTTTCTCTTCCAGATCATATGTAGTAGGATTCCTCTTAAAAAACATTCAAAATCAAAATCTTTTCAGAACATTTAGTTCTTACTCCCTTTTTTGTATGAATGTCCATGAGCAGACCCTATTTTTATCGCACTTTACTTTAGAATATTTCATGGGAAGTATTCCTGAATTCAAACTGTTTTTCTGTAGGTGAAGACTGATGCTAAAGTTGAAAAACATTTAAATGATGAATTCATAAATTTAACAACACCAATGCTCTCAGCAGGAACAACAAACTCTTCATCTCTCTCAACTCCTCTATCATCAAGTTCAGTTTTATCACAGTTAATTAGTCGTCAAAGATCATCTATGTCCACTGAATTGACTGAATATTTAGCCGAAAATGAATTAAGACAACAAACTTGCCCATTGGTCTGGTGCGGTCAAAATAAATTACGATTTCCGACAATAGCAAAAATTGCCACAAAATATCTTTGTGTTCCAGCAACAACCACGCCATCGGAACGTGTATTTTCAATTAGTAGTCTCATAACAAGCCCGATTGTGTTAACACAATTACATTTTTGAACAAAAACTCTCAATTTGAGGATTAAAGTCTTTGCTTTACGACGAAAAAATAGGTCTTTTTCTCTCCCGCTGTGATTCTCTTCTTATTTTCGTTGTTGTTACTGTTAGTGCGTGTGCGTAGGCACTTTCTGTGACTAACGCTTAATGAAGATGGAGCTAAGAGACGTCTTTTGCTTTGTGTGACGCAGAATTTTGTTGTTCTACCTCTCTTTTAGTCAAATCTGTGATTTATGTTCAAAATTTAGCCAAAAGATCACGTTAGTGCAGTCCGAAAAGTTGAACGAAGAAATATAACGTTATTCTATTAGAAAAATATATGAATAATCGTTATCACTCCATCAATTTTTTTTTTTCTTGTTTTCTTCTGGTCGACGGCGATCTGTAGTCTAAATATATAAATAGCCACATACACATAAACAATTAGTGTCAGAAGAGAGTTTATCTTTTAGGCTAAAAGTAGTTACGAAGAAAAGAGTACGTGTCACACACACAAAATGTATTTATTTCCATTATTGTCAAAATGGTTTCGTTAGCCACGGTCGTCATCATAATTTTACTGGGCAGCATCTGCATGTTTATTACAGAAGGTAATCGATTATTATTTCTGTGTGTATGAACAAAGCATTTGAACAATGAGCAGTTCCGATTTTCGAGATAGAACAGAAGTTGCGGATACCTATCCGATAGGTATGCAACTTCTTTTACATGATATCATTTGATTGAGTTTTGGCTGCATGCTTGCTTGATTTCGTCGCCGAACCAACATTACATCTGAAGGGAAATGCGATGTCTAAAACTTACATCGAAATTAAGATTGTTTTTGAGGTACAATTCACTAGTTTTCTGGAACTTTGATATAAATTCATATTTCCAAAATTCAGGTCAATGGTTAAGGAGGAGGTGAAGGGCAGTGTAAGGTATGGACAAAAAGTTCACAGGATTTTTGTAACCGATATACAATATTTTGCTTACTGATACTCTTTTTATATCTGCATTTGACAACTTTCATCTATTTTTTTGTGTTAACCCACATTGACTAAAAGAAGAGTATATAGTTTTTGGCTGTACCAGAAATGTATACACCGGCTGGGGCATCCGGGAGAATTGCCATATATCGGTTATCAAGTTTCTCTCACAGCTGCGGAACATCTCATTTTGCAGAAAAATGTGTGCTTTACAAAATGCATTTGTTTAAAAAAATTTTATAGTTATTTCTAACAAAACCTAGAACATTCTAAAATGCACGAAATCACGAAAAAAACTTCTTACTTTTTTAAAAACTTTCAAAACAGTCTCTTTTTTGTGATTTATGCTGTAAGTTTTGTTATAAATAACGATGAAAGGGTCAAAATACTGAAAACTTCAGAATGTTCCGTCCAATACGGTTAATATATCTACGGGTATTTTGACCCTAGCACCCTTATTCATCGATCAAACTAAAAAAAGCTGTTTAGCCTTATGATCGGCAGGGAGAGCTCTACAAAGTTTAACATACAAAAAACTTTCTGAGAATTGTTTTTGTGATGGACTACGCACCGATGTGAGTGTCGAACCACATGGACCTTGGTGTAATTCTATAGCCCATTCTCATCTTATAAATGACCAGTCATACTCTTAAATGCCATTTTTGACGGGCTTTTATTTGCTATAAAATTAATTTGATAGATCTTGAAATATGAGCTGGAATAATATTATTTCCTACTCTGTAAGATCTGTAAATAGAGCATTTTGTACAAATATCGCTTTTGGTACCTTCAAGAATTTGCTTTCAATAAACCCAACCATAAGTCAGAAAAAAAATTTAAACATACATCTGGAAAGAGCATGAAATGCTGATTCTAGTACAGTACTTTTGATTCTCTCGAATTAGTTATACATGATCGAAAATTGATTAAACATTTAGTGCAAACGTTGTTTGCAACAAGTGTAAAAAAATCATCCTAATACAGTGCATAATATTCTCACATGCATATCCCTAACCAACATTTCATCTGAAGAGCAATGCGATGTCTAAAACTTACATCCAAATTAAGATTGTTTTTGAGGTACAATTCACTAGTTTTCTAGAACTTTGGTATAAATTCATATCTCCAAAATTCAGGTCGATGGTTAAAGAGGAGGTGAAGGGCGGTATGGACAAAAAGTTCACAGGATTTTTGTAATCGATATACAATATTTTGCAAAAATAATTCACCACTTTTCAACACAGTTTTTACTTAACAAGTTTAGAATATGCTTTTACAATATTTGAAATCAATATTTCATATTCTTTTCATATCTAAATTTGACAACTCATTTTTTTGTGTTAACCCAAATGTTCTTTGAAATGGCTATTGCTTCTTGAAAATACATGAGTGGTTATAGAGATATATCGATTAGAAAAGTTCTGTGAACTTTTTGTCCATACCTTAGCTTGTACTTCTGAAAAAAGCTTCCTTTTAATAGTTTCTCCGTTTCACCGTTTAGCATTCTAATACGTTTTTCGGGTTGAAAGTTAGCCCAGTTTTCTGAATGCGCTTGTACTGTTATGTGGACCTCCCAGACAAAATACATAGCTCTCCTGTTGTTTTCTCTCGTTACGTCACTGGCAAAATCATTCTTTGATACCCATCAGGACAATCGAAAATTAAAGCGGTGTTGTGTATGCTTCATATCAAATGACTAAATAAAAAATGAGTGTGATGCTGATTATTTCTATATTTATTTTCTGAAACTAGCCGTGGCATGAAAATGAACTTATCGTTTTTTTATTCTTTCGATTGCCTTATGTGAAATACTGTTTCTTCACTTGTATATCTGATTTATAGGTAAATGGTCAACGACATCAAAATGTTCTTTGTCATTTACAATTGAGAAAAATATTAGTTATGAGCTTTATTCACCTCTTGATTTGGGTGCAACAATGAACATAACTGTTAAAGATTGTTGTTTACTTTGTGGACAAACCGAGAACTGCGACGCATGGACATATTATGAAGAAGGTGAACTGTGCATTACGTTTGATGGCAGTCGAGGTGGTCCAGATTACTCTCCAGGTGCAGTAAGTGGAAAGAGAAACTGATATTTCGAACAATGATATAACATGATTGTCACAGCATTTTTGCTTGTATTATTCATTATGTTTGTACAGCTTTCTAAATAAAGATAAATCAATATTTGAGATGTGATTCATGTCTAAAGCTAGAGCACGTCTATAAACAGATGGTAGACTTCTGTAGATCCTTTTCGTTTCCGTCCATTTCTGATATTTCTGACATTGCGATGTTTTCGACTTTTATTGATGTTAGGACAATTTAACAAAGAATAATTAGTGGGTTCCTGTTGAAGTGAGCATCTTCAAGTCTTCGAGATAAAAATTTTAAAATTGAATCGATGTTCGTGATGAAAATCAATAAATATTGCTTTTATCCCGAACATCGATTTGAAAAATGTCGAGTACACCAGACAGAAATTAGAAAATAAAATTTTCCATGCTTTTCTGTCTAGACTGGGAAAATTTTCTTTCATAGTAAAAAAACGGAATTACAGTGAGGTAAAGTGGTATCTCCAAGTTTAACAGAAGTGGCCGGTCAACTCGCGCTATAGTTGGCCGAAGAAAGCGGTCGATTTTGCTCAATAAAGTTACCCTGAGTATTATACCCTGATTGCTCGCTTATCAGACGAATGTGTTCACCATCGAATCACACAAGCACATTGATTAGTAGTTTTATTGGCGCCTTACACGTTTCATATGAGAGACTAAAAACGTAGTATAATCACATGGAATGCGGGGTGATGTCACTACGAAGTGTCATTCCCATTCACAAGAAACGATAAAGACAGACACATTATTGAGACAACTTTCAGCAAAAAAACGGATATCATAACTTCTATACGAAATTTTTGTATATTGACAGGCTATTTTGATATCATGATGAATATTGTATGAAAGAAGACAATTAATTAATCCAAGGTGTTGGTTCTGTATTCATCCTTGCGTTAAACATTTATCTCCTCATCCTTGAGAGACACCTCTGTGTCCAACGGTTTTGTACGCTCCCGTCTTGGTGTGCAGCATTTGTGCTATTTTCACTTGATACAGTATTCATACGAAATAATAATAGATTCCAAACGCTATATAGAACTAGAAAACTAGTTTACTCAGCGTGTACTGTTTTCCCTATTAATACTGTAGTTGTTGTCGTTACAGAAAACACAGCAGGATTAGGTACGATCGAGAAAATAACACATTTGGTTTTTTCTGAAATCCAGAACAATTGTTTATGTAAGAGAGAACGTATTATAACGCTTGTTGACATGGACAGGTATTCTGGAATTGTATTACCAACTGAGTTTCTTGCCATGAAACTGAATAATTTGTAGGAGCCATGCAGTATCTTTTTAAATGTAAAAAGAAATTTGCAAGGAAACTTTTGAACAACTTGTACAGAAAATGAAATCCTTCGTACATGTCAGATAGTGGAGTGTATAGAAGAAAGGGGCGAGATGAGCTACTTAGCTCCATTAGCTCATGAATCTGTTTAAGGGAGTTGCTCTTAACTGACGATTGTTACTGACTTGCTTGTGATGCACCGACAGGAGAAGCGAAACAAAATTGACCGTTAATTCAACGATGGTCGATAGTATTTATCTTTTTAAGCAAAAAAACAATCTGATTAAAGTGATGAGACAAGTCTTTTATGGTAGTATTAGGTCTTTTATACTAATACTAAAGAAAAGTATTAAAAGTAAAAGAAAATATGTATAGTGAAATAAGCGTTTAGGTGAATGCTATGAATCACCGAGAAAACGTATTATTTATTGTTTCGCTTTGAGTATTATTTGCACATTATTTAAAGAAAAAATACTTATTGACTATTGTTCTTGCGATGTGTGAAATAAAAACCCCTTCGTAATATATTATTTGATAAGAAGAATTGGAGATATGAACAAAATATTGTTATTATTAATTTGTTTATATTATATAATGGGGAGGTCATACGGGAATGGTCATCGTCAACCCCAAAGTTTCTTGCTTGATCATCCCCCCAGTTCGGGGTTAAACTTGGTGATGGGAAAAGTAGCCGCGTTAAACATACTGTTGAGTGGATAGGAACAGATCATAAAATGAATAACGGTCTGACACCTTATGCATTCATGGAATATGACGTTGAACATCATGATAATTGTTTAAATATAAATTTGGATGAAACAATTAAATCAGTTAAATGTTTGGATCAAACATCACAAAGTTTATCTCTTCACTTTTCTAAACAACAAGGTTTGGAAAAATTTGAGAGATCTTTAGTTGTCAACTCAACAAAATTAGTTGATCATTGAGATGACAAACAAATGTTTTTTCGCTTTTACAGATTATGACATTAATTTAGCATGAAAAAGAATTGAAATATACACACGGCATTTATCTTTAGTACATTTGTTTAAAAATGCTAATGTCAAATTTCGCCCAAATGTAGCTCACTTATTAGGCTCTTATTCGGATACTGGCAACACGGCACAATCACCCAGGTCGACGATTATGATCTTCGTAAACCATGGTATACTATGCTATACGTCGGATGATACTGTAGTATACTACGTAGTAATTTGACGTATACGACCAATTACGATGACGTAAACCCGGCCAACGTGTTACGTCATCGTATTCTGAATGATTGTATATGGTCGTTTACGACAGTATACGTCAAAATACAACGTCGTATACGATGACGTAAAACGTCGTAAACGATCGCCATTCGTCGTAAAACGTCATTTCCTGTAGTTTTTTAAGCTGTTTTGAGGTTACCCTTTTCGCTTACTTAAATTTGCCTTTTCTCAAATGTTTCATTCTGTTTTCAAACGTTTATTTTCTCCCAAACAAACATAGTACAGGTTGATAACGATTTGCACAAAAGAAAACACTGTGAAAAGCATCATTTCCAAGAAAACGAACAACAAAGCTATATCAGTTCAAAATGAGTAAACGATTATATGAAAGAGCAAATTAACGTGAATTAAAGCAAATCACATATAAAGAAAGAGGACACCGGTAAAACACTTCAATTCACGTGCAGTCGGTTGCTTTTTGAACAACTCCTCGCGGGAGATAGATAATGAAGTGCGGTTTTCAGCATTAGAAAGAGGACACTTTAAGACATCTTTTCATAAGCGAAAGTCAGTTTCAGAAAAATTTCCTAACTTCGTTTTCCAGGAGATCTTTGAAAAACCAGGTCGTGTGTGCGAATTTTT